TGGTAACAAGAAATGCGCCACTATCGTACAGCTTTGAATTCAGTGATTACTAGAATGCAACCGTTTATATCAGTTATCACATTTAAGCAATTAAAACTGAACCTTTTCTTACGATTTTCAGCACTCGCTTTGAACGTACATAAGGGATAAACGAAAACACAGCTCTAGTTGTTGCTGTTTTATTATGCACATTTGAGATTTACAGAGCTTAAGCAGCAGAATAAACAAGATTTATGAAGTCCAACCGCTAGAAATGGTACTTTATGTTGATATTAGGTCATGTTCACTGCTGCGCCCTCTCAAACACTCCAAGTTCCTCAGAAAAGAGAAACTCAAATAGACTATCGAAATATGTAGTTTTCAATGTTGTAACAGCAGAGTACGTCGACCTTTTCAAAAGTATGAAAATTTTATATGCATAAATACTTAACAACTTGCACTCACATATACAAGAACAAACAAAATTAGAGCTGAACGAAGACAGGTGGTTTTTTAGAGCATTCCCCCACGATATTTACTTATCGTTTTCGAACGGTCCAGTGGCTGACACATGGAACCTTTTCCCTACCTTTAAAGGCGTCTAATATACGGGAAGTGTGGCTGGTCTTTAAGAAATATGCCAGTATGAGACCAGTATATAATCGAACAAGATTGCACCTCAAGAAATTACCTGTTCTGGAATTCTACGATGTTCAATTTCTATCGTATCCTAGGCACCGTCGGCGAATTATTCTGAAACTACACTGTACAAACTGACAGTATACCAGCATATGCTGAACTACGGACCACGCAATACTGCCATAATGAAAATGAGATTACTGCTTAGCCTGCCATTTTAAAACGGTTCGAAGCGACATAATTTTGTACTGCTACGTTATCACGCTAACAGAGGCTTTGAAAATAGGCAGAAACCGAATAGAATCAAGCCTAGATGTGAAACAAAAAATTAAATGCTCAATGAATGTAAACACCTAATGAACTATTTCTGCAAGGTTTAGCGTCATCTTTCAATTAGGAAAACTGAACATACGATTTTCAGATACACTGTACACATCGTCCAAGCATCCATATGTCTTGACAACAATAAGCGGCAACGTCACTTTGAAGTGTGTCAGAGAAAGAACAGAGAATAAACGATACGCTTGCTTATTCGCGACTTACCCTTTCTTCGGTACTTCCGGCTTGTTCAGTTCGCGCTGAAACCAAATGGTGAAACTCTGCGAGGCGCTGAGCAACTGCACAAGAGCAGGGTGCGCGAAGTCAAACGGATACTCTAAGGTTCCGATGACTACTTGCCGCCGATGCGCGTCGTCCATTTCCACAGAGACAGCTGTTGTGGAAGTTGCTGACACCTCTGGACCCTTCTGGTCCGACGACGTGACGGTGGCGACGACGGGGGTCAAAGGAGTAGAGGGGCCTGACGATGCTGTGGCTGAATTCATTCCTAAACAATGCATGACAGCTTAAAGACCGACGCGACATATGAGATTCACCTGTCTCCGTCAAATCGACGGTGCATTCGTTCGAGTCGTCGCCGACGTCTGTAGTTGAACCACAGACCTTCTCGCTGTTCGACGGACTCCTTCCTCTACCTACCGCCACCATAGGAGAACAGCTTTGCCACTTTAAGTTTGCACTGAAAACCTTACGGGTAACTTCATGCACATTTAACATACATACACGTGATTCGCAATTGACTTCGGGCTTCGTCAAAATTGCGCATCACATTACAGTCGACGGCAAGGCAGTTTTACATTGTTATACATATTAGGTACATTAGAACCTGTATGTCTATTCCGCTCGTCTCATTGCGAATTTGATGGCAATATAACAAACTAATTTAAACTGATCTTAAGAACAGTGAAAGTCTGTAACTATTGAAATATATTTTTCCATGGTACGCTGTTCTATATTCCGTTCTCTGATTAACAATTCACTGTAGTTTAGAAAAATACCAATAACATTTGCAAGAAATACGCTAATTTTCCATTTTCTGGAAAAGGAACACGACGCCTAAATCTCTGACTACCGACTCTACAACCCTGGAATTGATCCTGTTCATTCGAATGATTAGCATTGATGAAGTTATTTAATGTAACTATCTTCGATGCAACGAGAAACGCATTGACACAGTTCGATGATGGGATTGTCATAGGCCATTAGCTGGATTAATAATGTTTTAAGTAAAGTTCGTGTTTTCATAATTTATTATATACTGTCTCCAAAAAATAAAAAGTTAATTACAGCTTAAATGTCTCTTTCGCATATTTCTGCACGTGTCGCATCAAATTTTACATGGCATATTCTGTACGATTTTTAGCATTTTGCAATTTTGTTAGGTACGTAAACCAAGTTTTTCAATTATGTTTTAAAGGGCGTAAACCACTGCGTCGATTCACACAATGATCTCATTCGTATGACTTACCATGAATGAACCATTCCAAATTCCTTGGCAGCGATTTGAATTGAAGCGCAACACGTTTTGTTCACCATGATGCCTTATTGGAACAATTAATTTTATTTAAGAGAATCGCGAAATTTCACTAAATTTTGTTACAAGGTTTGATTATGAATAGCAGTGTTGTCAAGAGTTAAATTCTAATTCAATTCAATGGTTGCAAGTTTTACGTGACATCAGATTCACTTAATTTATCAGCAAAACAAACTTCACATCCTGTAACTCGTGAATCATTCAGATGCTATATAGTGTTTAGGGATATACCGTGATCTTCTCATAAGTTTTTTTCCTGATCTCTGTCATTTAAAGTAGGTGGTTCAAAGTGGTTTAAAATGAATACCTGAGAGTTTCCATGAAAGGTATGCCAATTAGGAGTCCGCCTTTGATACAACTAACTGTTATCCACAGGACCAAGAAAGAAACGGGCAAACTAACTCGACAGAGTACTCCGTTGTGTAATAAATGGTTGGTTGCAATCGATCATTTGGTATCGATAGTTTCAGAAAATTCACTATGGAAGACAATCTTATTAGTAAACAGCACGTTCTTGATGGCATAGTTATTTTTTAATGTCTTACTTCTAAATGCTACATGTCCGTTAACAGAATACATGGCAATATCAAATACCTCCCTCCTAACCCATGTTCGATTTTTAACCGGGAAGATGAGCAAATGGCAGTGAGTTTATACGTCTGTTGACTTCGATAATGATCAATAAAATTAAACGAAAAGAAAAATTACTATCTACATTCATGAGGCTCATTTGGTTGCGTGATTGATCAGTTACATTACTGGTTAGAAGTTAATGAGTGATTACATCAGAATGGCGCATCTCTTCGATGCAGTAATCATACTTGCGATTAGCAAAAGAGGCTTCAATGCTACACACCTTAGAAAGGATCTGAGAAGAAGCCTCTGTTAATCGGCCATCATCTGATCCTGCCTTGTTTTGCGGTTTTTATGCACATAATTGCGTTGGTCATTAAGTAATGCCCCATATGATCCGCTAAACGTTGTTCTGTTTTTTCTTTATCTCGATTTCAATCCAACCCGTAATGTTTTATTTTGTCCAGATATCTGTCCTTCGTTTTCACAACGTATCCGAAAGATCTGTTTTCTCTATATTCTGCTCTCAGCAGATCAATTTATTGACTTTGTGAATGTCGCAATTTAGTGCAAAACATCGATTGAACGAAGTCGTGCACAAAGAAGTGTTCTGATTAATTCAGAATAGTTAATTAGTGCTCTATTTTGTTGCATACCGAAATATGCTTCCGCTTGTTCAACAAAAGATTTCAGAATAACTGAATTAAATAGTGTGCAATAGAATTCGACTTCGTACTTGAATTTCAAGTTTACAGCGCGAGCTATGCTACCAAGATCAAACTTTAAGCGTCTGTATACCAAGGTACAAGAATGATTTTCGCAATTGGTGGTTACGTTTGTTGCCGCCGAGATGACGGCTGTTTTTCCCTGGATGCTTACTTCGCGTAAGGTTGTTGATTAGAGACTTAACGTTCTGCTCTTTATCCGTTATTCGCACTACAATAAAGAAATCGCGTCACTCATGGCCATAGACATCCTTTCAAAGTTTATAATTTTGCTTGACTCTTATATCAAGCGCTAATCGTATATTTCTTTAAAACAATTTTTGAAGGCGAATTTGTTCATATTTAAAAATGCATTGAAAAGTTTATTTATTCACAACGCAAATCAATAAGTTGGGTTAAGCGGGTGATTGACAAGAACCGACGTTTCAGACCAAGGAACTAACTGCGGAAATGAACCGATGCACCCTGAAGAAGACTCATGGAGACGTATCGAAACGTCGGTACTGATTAGGCACCCGACTGACAAACTTATTCATTCATTGTGTAAAATGTTTTAATGAATTTTTCAGTATATAATCTCGAAACATCATATCATAATGATTATATTTATTCTCGTACACAGCGAATATCATTTATAAATGGTATGCACATCTATGGAACTTCAGTAAGTTGCAAAAAATGCACAGTTGATCTCCCAATATTTTCTGGCTCGTCAAATTTAAATGGAACGCTACTTCCGGCGGGGTTCGTCACACAACTGGTTGTGAATAAATCACTTTATTCATGTAATTGACATTTCAGTAACTTTGTTTTATGTTGACCTTGAAGAAAGCTGATGGTGGTAACTGCGAGAGTTGCAGAAATTATTGCGTCCCATCAGCTAATTGTTCGAAGTTTTCCATTTATTCATGGTCGTTGTTAGCCCCGATCAAATTGTTGATCGCTGTCTCGTTAAAATGTAACGACGATAAGTTAATGACTTAATGATAATGTTTTTGATTTATCACATGTTCAAATTTGATAGAAGCATTATTCTGTTACGCCGATATGATAACAGCAGCTTCGGCACTCTCAGATCTTCAGTCACAATTATGATTGTTATTCTGTACTGCAGTTGTTCGCTTACGCACTGCCGCCTCCATTTCGTCGTTGTTCCCGTTAGAACGATTAATAAATGATAAATAATGCAAATACTTTTATCCAAAAGGAATTTATCAATCTCTTCGAAAGCTACAAACGTCATAAACCATTCTTGGAGGTAGCAAGTTATCGGTTTCAGCATACTGTACTACTCCAAATTCTTACTATGCTACTATCTGAACAACTCAATGTGTACATTACCAGCACAAGTGATATCAAGGCAATTAAGCTTTTACTCAAAAAATTAAATTGGTTTACATAATCAGCAAATGTGTACACGTAATAAAACAACGGACTGTGTTCAACTTGTTAGAAAAAATAGCTAAGGTAACAAAAAACAAAATTATGAATTTTCAAAAGTTAATGTGGTATGACGTTTCCTGTTTGTTTAAGAAATTCAGGGTCCGAAATCCATCATTCATTCACTTAAGCTCCTCAATTGACGAAAATCACAGCAAAGAAAATTACACTCGTCCGAAACGCAATAAACAACAAAGAAAAACGTAAAAACAAAAGATTTGCTCTGCGGCACTTTTGAACTGACTGATTTCAGAAACAGCTATTTTCTAACTGAATTTTCGAACTTCGCCCCTGTGTGTACCTGGATGCCGTAAGGAAGCATTACGATTGCTTGGTTAAGAAAAGGTCAGCACCTTTCGAGTCACAGATAGTACAACACGGCTGTTGCGCGAATCAGCAAACATATAAGTCCAATCAGCTAGGAAGTATTTGAAGCAGTGTCGCTGGTGATGTCTGAAACGCCAAAGCCGAAATGTTGATGACCAGCGCCCAAGCGTCCACC